TATCCATCCATCCATCCATCCATCGGTGGCGATTTTGGCTCAAGAACTTGCTACTTCTGATTTCTTCTTGGCTGATGGCGAGTGCTGGGTTTCTTGGCAATACTCAAAGAGGCTGGCCAAAAGGCCAATTTTTGGATGAACAGGAAGCTGAGGTGTTGGTTGCTGCGGGACTGCCGTGGGAGCTTCTTGTGGCGTCTTTGAGTTGCCGAGTTTGCGTCTTCTTTGCGCATACCCATGCCACCACCAGCAGCAAGTGATGAGGAGGCATGCAGCTCAAGAATCTGGTAGATTGCAAATCACTGTGGGAGCCCTTCCACAACCGGATGTCCTCGCGACCTACATCCGGATCCCAAACAAGTTCCTGCTAGTTTCCGTTTGGATGACGGGGGCGTTGCGCTGACCCAAGACTTTGATTTGGAAGCTGCGCGCTTGTCAACTCCTGGCGCATTGCTCAGTGGCGAGCCAGTGCAGCCTCAGCCCGGGGACACAACATTTTGTGCCGTGCTGCCAGCCGACCACTCGCGCCCACCGTCCTTGAGTTGCACCGTTTGGCTGCAAAAGGCCATGTTGGGATTGGTAGCAAATTGTTGTGTGAGGTGGCCGCGCGTGTCCATGCCCGCGGTGGCGACTTGTTGCTTGTTGCTTGCAGCGTCAACCCTGCCAACACTGAAGTTTTACCGAAAACGCATGAGGGAACTGGCCAAAGAGCCTTTAGCCGAAGTGGAGAACTCTGTGCTGGTCGCCGATTGGGTTAAGGAGCAAGCGCCCCTGCCAGTGTTTTGGATGGCCCCTTGAAAACCCGGTCACTGACCAGCCTTCTAGTGTCCGAAGGCTACTCCCCGGCCACGATCGATGCAGTGCATCGTGCTGCTTGCGTGCAGCTGGCTTGCGCACTAGACTGTGACTTCAGCATCCACATTCAAAGGCACCGTAGCACATTCCTCTCGATTTGGCAAAATGGGCTCTGAACATGTGATGGGTTACTGAAAGCAAGCATACTTGCATAGCTCCGTTAGATCGCAAGCTTTTTCATACCATCAACGCAGAGGGACTTGTAGATCAGTGCCCTGTCTCGGTCAACGTCGCCTGCTGCCTTGAGTGCTATGCCTAAAATGGAACTGGACAAAGACATGCTGCTGGTTCAGTTGGGAGTCGGGGCAGCTTCAGGCCATTGCTCCCGTTTCGCAAATTGCCCGGCGGGCCTGCTCCCCACGCTGCTCCAGAAGACAAAGGACTGGAAGAAGGCGGCCGAGAAGTGGCACTATCACCTTGAAAATTCTTTTCTTCAGCGCACCCACAAGCGAGATCTGGCAGGAGGCCTGATCAACTCAAGCCTACAGACCCAAATGTTGAAGTTCCTGGAAGAGCTGGTGGAATTAGGAGTTTGAAGCAGGTGTTGAGATTCAAATCTCTCAGCCGCCAAGAACTCGAACTGTGAGCACTCCTGCTGACCTTGACCCACAACTCAGTGCGGATGATGATCCAGGGCAGAATTCGGCCCCATCAGACGAAGGAAAGTCAGCTGGCCAACAGGTTGAGCGAGGCGTCCTCTTCCCGCTCACGGCCCCTGAATGCAGGCGGCGCTTTGGCGTGAGCTGGGCATGTCGTTCGCAGTTGAAGGCCTGGACCAATTTGGGTCAGCTCCCAAATGTGATACTTGGGACGCCCATAATTTTTTTCTGCAGCGGTTCCTGGGAAGAGTCAAACCTCCTTGCCTCAATTCCCACTGGCTTCGCACCTACTTCGAGGGGAGAATGACGTAGTTGCGGATGAGGGCTCTGAGTTCACGCCGCCCACCTTGACCGCTTCAGAAAACAAGGTCCGGATTATTGCAGGAAAGTTGAATTTGTGGAACCTGTACCTGGGCATGTGTACTGCTTTCTCCACTGCATCTCGACCGCTTCGTTGCCATGAGATCCAAGAGAGGGTGGGGCTCACCATCCGCCTGCTTGGATCCAAGCAAGGTGATTTGTGGCATCACCCATTAGGGCGCAGATCACTGGATGGTTTGGATGTGTGCGTGGCTCTCCCATGAAAACTGGACACATCGCAGGAGCCCGGGAGGTTGGCGCACGGGCGCGGACATGTACGTGGTCGAGGCTGAGTTGGAGTTCAGGCATGTGTGGAAACTTGAAGAATATCCTCCTCACACTGCCGACGCCCCGAGTACTCCACGTGACTTGAACCAGCAAGAGTTTAGAGATGTCACCACGCTTGTGGGCCCCAGGATTGATTTGCGTCATCGCCCCACAAATTCTGCGCAAACGCCACGTGGCATTGAACCTGTGCCTTGGGACTTGAGCGCCGCAAACGGGATTTGACACCTCGACGCACCGTATCCCAGCTCCCTCTGGGCACGCCCGGACAGTGTTCTGAACCGACTTGAGCAATGATGCGGCCACCTGTTGCTTTGCTAGCGCCAGCGCTGCTGTGCAAACTATGAGCTCGGAGCCCAGCTGTACTCCGAAGTGCTGCTGCAGCTGATGTGTCTGAGTGACTAGTTTGATCGGGCACAATGCTTGTGCTTGAACTTTTGTTGAGCTGATACTCAGCGCCAATCCCTTTCCATGATTGCACAGATCTTCATTGGCGCGCAACTGGTCTGAAACGACCTGCGCAGATCTTAGTTCAGCGCATGCTGTGCATTGTGCGCATCAGTGCCTGCTCTCAGCTGAAACCATTTGATCTGGCCAGCTTGATCAGCCTTGAACTTGCTTCAAATTTCTCAACTTTTCTTCCGCTATAGCAGCTGTTGACACGCAAAATGCTAGCACAAAAAGCGCGCCACGCTGCAAGCTTCAGATGAAGCCGGGAGCTCTTGCTCTTGTGGCCCACGTGTTTTCCGCGCTCGACGGAGAATGAGGCAAACTGCAAAAGTATCTAATCTATCTATCTATCTATCTATCTTTCAATCAATCAATCAATCAATCAACCTATCAATCTATCTATCTATCTATCCATCTATCTATCTATCTACCTATCTATCTTTCAATCTATCTATCTATCGATCGATCTATCGATCGATCGATCGATCGGTCTGTTTATCTAGCTACCTATCTATCTACCTATCTATCTATCTGTCTATCTATTTACCTATCTATCTATGTATCTATCTATCTATGTATCTATCTATCTATCTATCTAACTATCTAGCTGTCTATCTATCTATCTATCTACCTCTTTTTTTGCATATATGATAGACAAATGCTCGACATATGTAGTATATGTGTTGCCAACATGGTCACACTTGCTTGAGCTCCCATACAAACTCAGGTGGGGCGCCCTTGCTGACCAATATTGTGTTTACGCGCTGGCTGCAATGGTCCGTGCAGTCGCGCCATGCTTCGCAGCGGTGGTCGTCGTAATGAGAACCGCCACAAGAGCTGGACTCCAGCCTTTGAGGAGGGTAACAACAGGTGTTCTCAAATTCATGTTCTCAAACAGACATATCTCAATACACCTTACTAAGGCACATCTTGAGGCAGTTTGGTTTTGGAAGAGAAAAATCTGGTGGTAGAGAATTGAATGCGGAAATGATACTGTTATGAATTTTGAATTACGAGGTTTTGCATCACTGGGCACTTGTTCATTGCTCGGTGCATGTTGGCACAGACAGTGCTCTCTACTTTTTGTTATAACAAATTGATTTTGTTACAAACTCCATCAGAGTTCATTTTGTGGACATGTAGAGCATGTAGGGCAAGCTTCTTTCCTCAACACTCCGACGATGCCGCGTCTGACGTCCCAGTTTCACAGGGAATAGGCAGCCAAACGATGTTTGTAACAAAACATGAGAGCTTAAAGGGCTTGAGTCAAACTCCATACATTTTGTTGATTTATCAGTGGGAATGGCGATGCCAAACAGAATTAGCTGGAGCTTCACGCAGTGGGTCCCATTTTCAGATTCGTGAACCAACTCAAATCACCAAGATACTTCCTGGCTTCTCTGTGTGTTGTCTACATGCCTTGAAACAACGAACTGGTTGCTCTCGTGACGAAGAAACCATGTAGCCCACTGCGTGTCGGTCAGACTATCGGCTATCGTTTCAAGAAGTTTGAAGAAGAAAACCAAGGTCTTTGAGCGCTTTGGTGCACTGATTGAAACTCCATGAAACTACCCTAACTCTAGGTCATCCTACAATCTGCTGGATGACTGATAACTATGCGTTACAAGGATTTGTGATAGAGGAGCGGGAAGTTGTTTTAGACCCTTGTTTGATCCAAAGAGCAGCTGCGGGCTGCGGATTCCAGCTGTAGCCAGGTGAGAAGACATACGTCCCTTGATTCACCCGGCAAAGAACATGACTCCGCCCCCGGAGGTTCCCGAACCGACCAAAACCGTCGTTCTTTCCGGCTTGGCCGACCCGCCCAGGTGGCCGACCACCTGCCGTACTTGGGCCCCAAAGAGTTGGCCGTGTCTGGCCCCAGCGAGCGCGAGACCAGACAGGGTGGTGAAGCAAGAGGGGTTTGGGGAGGGGAACCATGGTCCCGATGGCGTTTTTTTTCTGTGTCTGGAGCGCCGTGCCAGCTTTCAGGTCAGGAAGTTGAGGGGTTTCTACATGGCCAGGGCTGTTTTTTGTTTGCCTTTTTCAACAGCTTTGGGGGAAAACGCCACATGTTTGTGTTGGAAAAAAGGGAGGCGCATGCAGCTGGGCAGGGGAGGATCGGGATGCACGGATCTGTGACGCTGTTCAGCTCGGCATGTTTTCATCTCGCTGATCATATCAAAAACGGATTGTTGCATATTCCATGTGGGTCTTTAGAACGGATTGTTGCATATTTGTAGAGAGCATCTCGCTTTGGCCGTTGATGGTGTCAGTCCTGGCTTGGGACACTTGCATGGAGCTGCAAATGTATACGTTGAGCATACACACGTCATTTGATCAGGAACAGGACAGATTTGATTGACATTTGAGACAACTTTTCATTGTGAAGCCTCGAGCCATGCTTGAGGGCATTCCCAAATCTTCTATGGCACCTCGCGCCCCGAGTGGTTTGCCATGGCAGCCTGGGAGCCCTTCAGGCGAGGCAGCTGGTCGGGGAGGAGGTGGCCCTTGGATGGGGGGAAGATCGATAGTTTTTTTAAATCACTATTTTTGAGAAAGGCCTTTGCTACTACCAATCCTCCTCCTTCTCCTCCTCCTCCTCCTCATCCTCCTCCTCATCATCGTCATCGTCATCGTCATCGTCATCGTCATCGTCATCGTCATCGTCCTCCTCCTCCTCCTCCTCTTTGTCGTCCTCCTCCTCCACTGTTTCTAGGAATGGGATATACCCCAGATTGGAGCATTTGGAAGAGCTCCGAAGGTGAGCCTCAGATCTTGCTGGGACGCTTTGGAGAAAGTGGCAGATCGACTGCAAGCGCCCACCGTTGTTCTGGGTCCCAAAAGCAGGTGCCCTGATGAACCTTCAGCGACCTTACCCTAATATTGGCTGGTCTAGTACAGCTTGGACAGTACCCAATTCAACCTGAAATCTCGACTAGGGAGATACAGCAAAGCAGTGGCTACATGACGATGGCGTTTGACAATATTAGGCTACACGATGGTGGGCCAAAAGCGTTGGGTTACTTTTCTTCGGGATTTCAGGATGGTGACTACGTGTTTCAGAAGCACCTGCAGAAATGTGCGGCTGTTTGAGTGCAGCCTTTTGTCCAAAACTACAGTGCATAATTCCGGAAACTAGCATGCATCAATGGACCCCTTTCCTTCAGGTTAAAACTCTAAAGATATTGAAGGTTCCATTATAGATTCTTGAAATGTGACAGGATTCCTTCGCGCAGCAAAACTATGTGTGTATATTGTATGCATTATACACACACATTAACTATATACATGTATCAATTCACCACGCCATTTTGCCCAACTCCTGAAGAAGCACTTGCAGGTCACAAAAAGGAACACTTCTTTGCCGTCCGTTTTCTCGACACGGGAAGCTCCGACAATGTGAGGGGTGTCGACGTTGGCCGCAGGCAGCTGTGTATTGTTGGCGCTGGGCCGGCGGGGCTGCAGTGACCCAGCCGCAAAGCGATGGTGGTTCCGGCGGTTCCGGCCGGTTCACGCGGTGGCCGCGGTGGCCGGGACGCGTAAGCCACCCTTCGCAGGTGGAGACCGCATGGCACTGTGGCGAGTGGGTGAGATGTCGGGGGGTTGTCAGAAGAATCCAGCAAGCAGTCGATTGGAGCAACTGTGAGGTTACTTCCTTCATCTTTCTGTGTGGCGGGCACGGATTCCGGAACAAGACCGTGCAAGAGGCATTCGACACGGTTGGCCGAAGATGCCCGCTAGGACACCAGATGGCAGGCTGGTCGCAGAGCCTCAACTCTGCAGAAACCCCCAAGAAGAAGCAGTCCTGAGCTCTTCCAATCTGGATCCATTGGATGAGATCCTTTTACGCAAGTTTAGTGGGGGCTTCAGATCCATCATCCATCTGGTTTTCTTGACCAGGGGACACTGGTCGTACATCAGGCTGGTCGTGTTCGTGTTCGACTCTTCATGCACTCCAGGCTTGGCCACTTCTTGTCCCAGGACAGACCGGCGCCAGCTCGCTCGACGCGTCGCACTTTGGAGGACGTGGCACTGGAGGAGGACCAGGTCAGGTGCCACATGGCTCGGTGTCGTACCTGGCTGTGTGCAACAGGACGACGAATTGGATTCGCGAACGGAAGTGGCCGGACGCACAGTCTTTTCCGTCGAGTCTAGACACAGAAACAGCCGACCTGAAACGGCCCTCACCTCACGACATCAATTTCTGCCGAGTCCTCGACGGGTGGAGAATCCGTGACGGTCGACGCCGGCGAGATGCCGACGAAGTGTGAAGATGTTGGTTGAAGAGGGGGTCGTACGTGGCGGGTATCTGCGGAGGAGAAAAACACCTCACTTGCTAGGTCTGGGGATGTCAAGGACACACAGGATTACGCTAGGATTCGTGGCCAACCATTGGTTTAATGGCCGGGCCATCCCAAAGAATCCCAAATAACCATTGTCTTACTAAGGATTTTACACTACACCACCAGGTCAACCATTCTTTTAATGGCCTTTGACTTCCAGGGGATATATATATATATATATGATTATATAATTAATATATATATATATATATTGCATATATATATACTGTATATAGAGTGGTTTCAGAGGTTCGATGGCACAAGGGCCCAAGTTCAGTGGTTTAGTGGACCTGCCTCTTTTCGAGACATCGGTGCCAGTGCCAGTGCCATCGAGCCTCCGAAACGACGCGTTGTCGGATGCGTCACTGGCAGACACCTCGCCGGGTTCGACGAAGATGGGCCCCTTTGAGCCAAAGGTTTCGCAGCCTTTGCGACAAGACCGGGGTCCTTAGTGGTTAGGGGAATCTGGGGGCCCATACACACTGAGTTACAGTCTTATGACTGTTAAGGTAGTGAAGGCCACCAAAAAAAGGTGATGAAGCACCTGGAAGAGCTTCAATTTGAAAGACGATGTCCCAGTCTCTTGTAGTCAAACTTCTACGCGATCGAGCCATGGCCATCTCTGGCGCCATCCAGGACACATCCGAAATCCTTCGAGACTTTGTGCCTTGGCAGCGGTGACGGCAGGGGTGATTTTTGGGGGTGTTTGGATGGTGCAGCTTTACCAGCTGATTCCCCCACGACCGTTTCCACCCCATTTCCAAGCTCCTGTTTGTTTGTTTGTTTTTTTTTCGTCTTCATGCCAAACTTCGGTGGACTGCCTGAGCCTGCCCGTTTTTCACTGAAGAGGTTGTGACAAACCACGAAGCATGGCAGACTTGCCTGCAAGTGGACGAGAGACGGCTTGTTTCTCTAGACAAAAAGGGTGCAACCTGATAATACTGGTATATAGTGGTCCCCAAATGGAAGAAAAGTAGATCCCCACCAAAAATGTATTGGAAACCGTGCCACTATCTATTTGGAGATCACTCAACAATGATCCTTTCCAAGGGAGCGCGAAACGAAGAATGATATGAATACTGGAGACATCTATCCATCGATTTCCAGAGATGTGAATGGTTTATTCCCGGGCGACCGGTGGCTTGGATGCGCATCTTTCCGTCTCGGTCTGGTCTCTCGGTTCAGTTTTACTGAAAAGAGGTAAGTCACTGAGAATGATGTGATGTTCAGTTGCCATTGGTTTTTATTCAACTGAACACCCCGTGTCGGTGAGACTCGGGCGTCTCCGGTGTGGTCGGGCGTGTCCGAACGACAAGCCCACGGGACGAACGGAAGTCTCGTGGATGCCGAAAGGGGGGGGGGGTGAATGGGGCTTTGCCCCACATGACATCCGAAAGAAGAGGACAATCACCGACATCAGTTTTGTATTGTATCAAGACAAAGCATCCGAAACATGCCGTATGGCCCCCACATGGATAGCACAACCTTTGCAAACAGAATCAAGTGCAACATCAACCTGCAGGGACACGCAGCTTGCAGGTCAGCTGTTGTTCCCGGGTGCTGTTGTTCCAACGTTGTTCTCAAGGGGTTGGTTGACATGGGTTCAATGGCCGAAAAACATGGCTTTTGTGGTGGTGCGCAAGCAGAGTTTCGTTTTTGCCAGGTGATCTTCGAGAAGAGCAGCTCCGCCGGCAGCTTCTTCCGACGCTTTCCCATCCATCGAATGCTCATAAGCCACTCAACCGGGGGAAGAAACTGCAGCAGTTGCACTGCGGAGTCGAACCCACCGGAAGGTTTCGGTCGGGGAGAACCTGGGCGCCAACTGGCGCAAGTTGCTGGATCTTTTTCAGTGTTCAACGCCTCCGAAGTGTCACCATGACACAGTTGGTCGATGAAAAGATGCCAAACAAGTAGTCGAAATGCTTTGCGGGTCCAACGTTGGATTGTCAGCCTCAAGGTGGTTTGGGGACAGACTCAAAGTCAGAGGATTTATGTTGCAATTCCATGCGAGCAATATATTCAAGATTATTTGCACACATATTCTTTCAAACGCTTGCGTGTGCACATGCCGGTCAAAGACAACTGCCCGGCCCTATGTTTATTTTTTTTTCCACCCCCGGTGTAGTCCGCTGCATTCAGAGGACACCTGCGTTCGGCTCGGTCTTCTCAAGTCGTCTCACACCTGCCTGCTAGGCCTCAACAAGCGGAACGTCGCTCGGGGTGGCATGGACTTTCGCATGCGCCACGATTGGAACTCGCTGCTGGGTGCAGGCATGGCATGGGGTGCTGGGCATCCGTCTTTTCTTCGACTTCTTGCGGAAACTTGGGCGCTTTTCTCGAGTTGAAGTGTAATGAGGTGAGAGGCAAATTGAAAGGCAAATTGAAGCGCAATAAGGATGGAACCAAGAACTTGGTAACAATTGGATGGAGACAATTGGAATCAAGGATGGTGAGATTGCTTCAAGGAAACGCAAACTAAGAAATTGTTACTGATTGAGTTTTGACCACAGCCGAATCTGAACGTCGCACGCTCACATTTTTCTTGACATTGACCATGCTGTTCTTTCTGACAGACACTTTGGGCATTGCCCCGATGACTGTTCGGGGACCCAGTCGATGTGAGGACAAAACCCCGGCAGAACTCGCCCGGTTGCTCTCAGGGACTGTGGCAGAACCCGCCATCGACCGGTTGGTGTTGGGCCAAAAATACAGGATCCCAACTCCAACGAGTTCTTGGGTTGCTCTCAGACCAGAATTGCCGTGCGAGGCCCGGACCACGGAGCTCTATCCTCATGCAGATGTCTTGGTCCAGCGCCGTGGATGGACGTCGTTCTGGGATTGAGTCGAGCTGGTTGAGTCGGCGGGGCGAAGAGATTGTTGCAGTTTCTTTCCTTCATGTTTGTTCTTTTCGTGTTAGAGATGACCAAAGTGGAGTTATTGTCATGAAGAAACATAGATGGAGAAAAAGTTGTCATGAAGGGGGTTGGTGGATCCATATTCCCAACTCCATGGAACAAATTAAAACTGGCTCAAGGGATGGCTCACAAGGAACATAACATGCAATAATATGTGGAGGTGGAGGTGGAGTTCTAAAATACGTCCGAGGGAAATACAGGTTCCGAACGTCGTTCACCCCGAAGAAGACGTTGAAGATGACCGGGGGCGATGGGCTCGGGGTTTCGATGTCCCGGCCTGGGCCGAATGCGGGGCCCGATGCCGCATGCGGCGGGAGCGTTGGTGGAAAGCGTCAACAAGCCAGAGCGAAGAACAAACAACCTCGAGCATCAAAACACGGCCAATGGAAGTCGACTCCTAAGGGTCCTTGATCGAAATATCTCACGCCATGATATCAAGACCGACCATCGCCCTTCGCCGCGATGCATGGCCACCTCGGCCGGCAGAGGTACCTCAGGGACTATGCGGTGCATTTGTCAGGACACATCCGGTTCAATACGAAGGCACAGAATGAGCTGGTGGGTTTGAAGCAAATGGGGCAGTGAAAAAACCTTTGACAAGAACAACAGTACAGGTATATAGCCAATGTAGTCCAACTGTTGTATGTTCACAATTGGGATGGCCCAACCATGGTTGATGAGATCGAAGAGGCAGGCAGGCCCTCAAACATTCCGGATCACATGAAGCATTCCCTTGCTTAGCTGAACCTCACGACCATGAACGCCCTAAACCCTATGCCCTGCAGTCTTCGGTCCACATGGAGACGGTGGTCCGTGGGGACCCGTGCCGACCAGTTCTCTGTGAGGTTGTGCGGCTCAGCCGCGAAGATGAGCACTTCCATCTGGAGAGAGTGGGGAAAGGGTTCCTCGGATTTGGTTTGTCAGGGACATGCACTAGGCGGTTGGTGTCTTTTGGGGTCTGGATGTTTGAAGTTTGAAAGACAAGGAATCGTGTTTCAATCGTCAAGGATCACAAGCTATTGGCTGAAATCTGAAGCCGTCATTGTATGTATAGAGTCTATTGTTACTTCACTTCTGATTCTTCATTCCAAATCGAAGTTCTGCCACTAGTTCTGTTTCTTTGTCTCAGCACTCATGACCATGTCTTCTGAAGAGCCTGAAGAGCGAGGCTTTCCAGTTAGGCTTCCTGTAGTCGTCGCTTCGCTTCGGACGCTTTGCATTCGTAGGAGATCCAAAGCACCAACGCCTCGGGAGAACAACGCGCCCAACGCCTCGTGCAACGCTGTGGGCTGGTGGTGCTGGCTGTGGGACTCACGCCCTCTTTGCCACAGGTGGGGCTCGGGGTGGAAAGGGCCCGGTGGAAAGGCTGGGTTTTTAATGGGTTTGAGGGGAGGTAGGATGAGGTAGGATGAGGTAATGCGTCGCTGATGGCAACAAAGGTGAGTGACATAGGGAAGCGGTGGAGATTTAAGCTAAGACGAGTTGTTTCCGAGGTATACATTGTACATGTGGGTTATCCCGGCTGTGTGATGTGCTTGGTGGACATGGCAAGCACTCCATCGGTGGCACGCTCACGCTCGAGGCACGCCCGGGCACGCGACCCGGGCTGTCTTAGGGCCCACTGCGAGCTGCCTGGTTTCCGGGTTTCGGTGGTCACTGCTATGTCCATGGGCCAACGTGCATGGCCTGGGCCGATTTCGGATGAGATGACCATGAGATCCGACTCATGACCAAACAGATGGTTTCTGTTCCTCGGAGTGGATCATAACGCTTCATAACCCATCAGAACGTTATAACCCCATCATTGACCTTTTCCTGCCGTACTGCGCCCGATTGTCTAAACCCGCTGACAGACTGTAAGGTGCAAAACATCGAGCTGCTCTGCTGTTGGGGTCAGATGCTTTTGCCATGTAACTGCACCCCCTCTTGTTTCGTTGGCGCAGACTGCGCAGCGAAGATCTGCGAGTTCGACCGGTCTGAGACCGCGTCTGACGGCAATCGACGTTTTGCCGACATGACTGGAAGATATGCCGGACTCCCCACAGCACCGAAGCAGTTTTCTCCACTTTGATGGGAGTCCCAGACAGGTCGTGTGTGGGAAGACTCATCCAAGTCATGCCGCTTCATGGCAAAGACGATTGAAAAACCTGCTGGGAGGTCCCGCCTTTCATGAATGTACTCCAAGTAACAAAGGACCGGATGAAGATCCGAGCAGTACAAGTTCCAACATGTAAATTTTTTGAGGCAACATCAAGAGACACTCCGAATTCTTTTGGATGCCACCCGGGGCCCTCGTGTGATATTTCATTCTATTTCTCACCGTCAGCCCACAGGATGTGGTCGGCTCCCATTTGCTGACCGGCTATGAAGAGCTTGAGCCCAGTGGCTCGGCCTACGAGCCACTTAGCGGCCAAGTGGAAGAGCTGCGGTGGCTGGATGATCTGAGCACGACGACTCTGGAGAACCTCCACCTGTGGTGCCTCCACCTGTGGGTGACTTCCACCCTCCTCCACCATGCTTTCCATGACCAAAACGCCGGGAGAAGAAGGAGAAGCGAAAAGCGACCATGAACGAGGATGAACGAGCACTCACATGGGCCAACGAGCACTCACATGGGCCAAGACAAAGGGAAGAACAACTCCGAACACCAAACAGGTGCCAAGACAGGGTTTGGGTGTTCGCCAAGAGAGTTTGTTGATTTCCACGGCACGTTTCACAAAGAACGCTACGATTTCGGTCGTGGTGCGGGGCGTGGATTCGGCTTTGAAGCCATTTCCTCCACTGAATGGCCGCTGTCGTTTTGCGACCCTTGACCCGCTTGGACTTTGAGGATCACAGACTATACCAGCACCTTCAAAGGGGTCACTGGCTGGAAGCCCCTACACCACTAAGGGACCTCCATTGGACACCCTTTGAAGGTCCAGGTATACTTTGATATGCTTTGATCTTTGTCCCAAACTCTCCACTTGAACCTGGTAGATAGATGCACAGGATGGCCGCTTCAAACCGCCGTGAAACTGTTCATTGATTGATGTCTTGGGAACTTGAAGGAAAACACCGTCCCACGAACCTGATGAGAATCAGTTTCTTGTCACTAGTTGTAAGAATGCTCCTAATAGTAAGGCAAGGAGCCCCTAGTAGCGTCCTTGCTCCTAGTAGCGATGCCCGTTGTTACTAGTAGCTTCTTCTTACTAGTAGTGTTGTTATGATATTCATGATCGTTCAACATTCGAGGAATCGCTCAGTGCTGGTTTGGGGATTTGGCAACGCCGCCCATGAAACGGCTCGTGAGCTGCAGAAATACACGCAGGCGGGCACTGATTCGTCGATTTCGGTGAACTTGGAATCCCTTGGATGTGGTTGAGGAGAATGGTTGCGTTTGGTTGTTGTGTTCCTTTCCGTCTCCTTCTCCGATTTTAGTTTGAATGAATCACTATGCCACTATGCACGTGGGCGAGCATCAGGCGATCTACATAAATAGACTATTTTGGAGTTTTGAACCGGCGCAGTCCAGCCTTAGAAATCTTTTGACCAGAGATGACCAGAGATCATGGATGCAAGTTCCCTGTAAGCTAGCCGCTCGTATATGCCACTTCAGAGTACATGCCTGCATTGTTCTGGGATGTAGGTAGACTTTCAAACAACTTTTCCATTTGATCCCCTTTTGGCTTAGCCGCTTTGTTTTCTCGCCCCTGGTAGCACACTTATCTGTATAGATATAGTAGATAGATAGATTAGATTAGCTTAGCTTAGCTTAGATTAGATTAGATTAGATAGAATATAATCGAATGAAATCAAATTTATTTGATTCGATTTATTGATTTGCTTGATAGATAGACATATTATATGATATAGGATATGATATAGGTATATAGGTATATATAGATATGGATATAGATAGAGAGATAGAGAAATAGATGGATGAACCACGGACTCGGCTGCTCGAGGCCGTCACTTTGCTGCACCGGGAGCGGAGCGACACCTTCGACCTTTGGAAAGCTTCGAGCTCTGCGCTGCCACGCTTCGCCTTCTTTACACACTATCCAGGTGATGTAAGGAGTGATGTGAGACAGAACGAAATTGAAAAAACACATAAAAAAACCATACAAAAAGAAGATCCACTTAACAAAGAAACATGGGGTTGCAAAAAGGTCGCAGCGTCCCATTCGTCTTGCCGTCGCCGATCCGTCGAGACCGAAGAGTGGACAGGTCACGTCGAGACCGCGGCGCATCGCTGGTGTCGTCGAGACGGCGTCGTCGAGACCGCGTCGTCGTCTCTGCCTTTCTTTGTGGAAGCGTCTTCTAGAACGGGAAACCAGGGCGTCGGTCGAAATCGACCTCGGTTGATTGGAGACAAGAGGAAGCTGACGGATGACGGAATGCAGGAAGCTGAGGATGCTGCACGGAGGGATGCTGCAGGGAGGGAGCCCAAACTTGATCGCCCTGTGAAAACATAGGTGACGACCCTGGATCTTCCATATATGTGTTTGCAAAAATGCTACATTTGCACGGCATGCACGGCATGCAGCGCCTTGTCACATTCTTACTGGAACACACGCTTCCTCGTATCCTCGTGATGATTTGGTGACCCGTCCGACTTCTGAGTTGTGTGCGTTGCGTGCGGAGTTGCGGTCAGACCGACAAAGCTTCTGAAGATGACCTTGTTACCAGCAGTCACAAAGGGGTGCTTAATGGAGGTTAGGGCCTGTTAGGGACTAAACACCACCCCTTTGTGACTGCTGGTATATAGTTACTTTTGTGCAACGTTGAACTTGTATTGCTGTTAGGAATCCTTTGAAATCCAAAGCAATGTTTTCGAGCCCGGCTTAGCTATGGACGTTCGGGATTGGCTGTGCGGCGGACTCTGTGGCTAGAGAACATGAAGCTTGACAATTATGACTCTGTGGCCTTGCTTGAACCACTACCTTCGCCCTGCATCGCTTTGACCCCTGCATAGTTTCTTTTGGCCGCTCGTGTTTTCGGCTGCACTGAAAGTGCATTGGAAGTGAGCGTTCAAAAAAGAGAGAGGGAGAGAGAAGATGTTTCTTGGGGGAACCACGGGCAAGCCAAGACCAACCACACAGTGAATCTATCTCGATATGGGTGTGTATGAACATAGGGAGACCTTCCAGTTCGAGTCCCTAGAAGAAAGAACATCCTGTCTACGCATTGGGCTAGAGTGTCTCCCTATTAAATTACACACCCATATGAACCTCGATAATTTCTATTATCAAATGCTTTTCACTTCACTTCAGGGGCCCGGCCTCCTTTTGATCGCTAGTCTTTTGAAGGACAGTGACGATGCAAATCTACGACTCGTACCTCTTGAAGGCTTTGGACGTGAAGCTGCCCTACTCCTCCCAGGACGGCCATCCCGGGCCAATGAACAGTAAGGCATAGCATGGCATAGCTCCAACCAGGCAGATGTTTCACCTACACTCCCAGCTGGCCATGAAAGTGGAAGGTATGGGCCCTGAAAGGAAGCCCCTTTTCCGAAGACCGCCCGGCCATTTCTGCCATGGTCTTAGACACATGACAAGTATCAACTGCAGCAACTACCCCCCCCTGTAGTCGAACTGGACGAACGCTATGAATGGGAGATGATGATCAGCGCGAAGTTCTGCACCCAACTCAGCATCGACCTGACCCAAATCTTGGAGGTGAATTGGGGTGTGGACCTTTTTCAGAGATTCCTCAAACTGTCCGGCGTCTTGGGATTCCTCACCGGCCTTCACGAACGTCCGAGCGCTCCGGAGCGCACGCGTCGGCGAGGACGAGGAGCCGGTCTTCCTGCCTTGCCCTCCGCAGCTCTGTGTTTGGGTCTCCAAGCGCCAACGTTGTGCAGGTGGAGGTGCGATCTGCCTGGTCAACACAGGGGGGAGACCGCTCCAAGCAGAGGTATATAAGATCAGGTAGAGACTGTCTGCTTTGGCAGTCTCTATCATTGTCTTTTCGAAATTGACCACCAGATTGATCTCTTCACTCCGTCAACTCTCAAGAACGTCCGGATGGGATTTTTCCGTCCTCTGGCAGAAGAAGACACCGCCCAACGTCGAACCGTGACCGACCGACCGAATCGACCGAGCAACATCGGAGGGTCGGACCGGCCAGGCTTCGAAGGGCAGATCTTGCCGCTGCGCCATGTGCGGGCCACGGAGCGTCGGGAGTGCGTGGTGGAGGTGCCTGAGTTTGGGCGGACGTCAGGGAGGTGAAATGTGCTTGGCAGAGAGTTGGCAGAGAGTTTTTTTTTAAACGAAGACTCAAAGACTGACACACACACACACTCTCTCTCTCTCTTACTGACTGACTGACTGACTGACTGACTCACTCACTCACTCCCTCACTCACTCACTTACCTACTTACTTACTTACTTACTTACACTTACTTACTTACTTACTTACCTACCTACTTACTTACTTACTTACTTACTTACTTACTTTTCATCATACAATATCATACAATCATAGAGTTTTGGCATGTTTTGGCTGCTTGGTTTCAGGGTTTTGGCCGCAGTGCTCGGAAAAAAAGAAACACGATTCGAGCTCTGTCACAAGTCGGAGAGATGCCGATGCTGGACAGATACAGGTCGACCTCGCCCGATGGTCGACCTATACCGTGATCACGCGTCGCAGGTAGGGCCTTTGCCACTCCATGCCGAAAGGCAGCTCCGAAGGTGGGGAAAGGACATCGGCAGACTCGACTGGACATCCTTCGGACCCGATCTGACCGCCCCCAGCGGTGTCGATGGTTCTTGGATCTTCGGCTTGTCGCCTTCGTCCCGGCTCAACTCCTTCTCCCCCCGCATCGTTCAGTGGCGCGCGCCGGTCGGACAACTCGTTCCGTCGCGGTCCGAAAGCGGAAGGAACTCTTCCACCTCCCGCCCAGGCCGGTCGGACGACTCGTTCGTCGGAGGCGGCTCCGGACGACGGCCGTGGAGGGCCGCGACTTCGTGTGGCGCGGCGCAACGCCCCGGTCCTGGCGGGCGGAGCAGGTGCGGTCCCGGGTGTTTGGACGTAGGGAGCATGCTGGGTGAGGGAAGGAGGCGTTCTTCTTTTATTTTTTTCTGCTGTGTGAAGTAAAAGAACATATAAGAACTGTTGAAAGACGGAGTGGAGTGGACGCTGATCAAGCATAGAGGCTAGACTCGGCTAGATACTCTCACTCTTCCAAATCAAGAATAACAGGTCACAACTCATGAGTACTGCCAGAGTACTGCAGTGAGCTACCACGGTTTCGTTTCGTTTCCTTGCATGCCCAAACAAAGGCCGTGTGCAGTTCAGGATTTGTCTGCCCAGGCACTCCATTTGGACGAGACAGGGTGCGAGAGAGGGGGTGCGAGATGGGCATTGGGAGGACCAGATGTCTGGTTGCAATTCCATCCCGACAACTCCACCAAGTGAGACCTGAGGGCCCTGTGGGGTTTCACCGCTTCCCTCCCCAACGAAAGACCTGGGGGTTGGGTTGGGTCCTTCTACCGACGCCAGACGCCATCCGTTCCAGTCCGAGTTCCGGAGTTCGATCTCCAGGCCTTGACGCAGCGTCTCCGCGAGCTGGGCTTTGGCGACCTGGGCAGCAGCGGTTGAAAACACGAAAAGTTTCAGTGGCGGGGATGTCAGCTAGGATGTCCTGAAGATTTCAGCCACTTCCGACCCTTTTGGCATCTTTTGGCAATGTTTTTTATTTTTTAGTCTTCACTGTCTTCACCCCCAAAGTCGCCAGTGGAGAGAACTCTCAGGAAAAGGTGGGTTTCCTTCTTGGAAGAACCCCGCTGTCACTGTTGTCGTGTCGACAGACGAAGAGGTGCCGCCGAGCTGCTCCAAACGACTGAGGATCGTTGGAGGAGTACCTCGCATGGCGAAACCGCCAGAGTCTCATGTTTCGAGTGGACTGGAAGCGAATCCGCGCGCAGAAGGGTGACTGGAGAAGGGTGATGTGGTGGGCACAGAATGGAGAACTGCGGCATTGCAAAGCAAGATGTGGAGCGGATTTCAATATGAATTTGATCAGTCAATTCAAGATCGTCGTCCTCTGTCCAAATCGCTCGTTCAGTGGTCGTCTACACATCGATGTTCGGATCCGCTTCAAGGCGAAGGCCAAATGTCTTCTGGGAAGGCCTGGCATGAGGCACAACGCTTGGAGGCAGCGCAGCACGTCAGACGAAGCGCCGTCCTGCGCACATGATCGCGTGGTTGGCACATGGATCGCGCCTTTGGACTGGGCGAAATTGGACAGGCGGAACATGGGGGGAGGATGAGAAAATACTGCACAGCTATAGATGAACATATGAATGATAGAGGTTTGTGGGGTCGCTTAAAGGGGGTTGTTTTACAGGTTTTAGCCAGCTGTCAAGGGGTTTAGTTTGTTGCAAGAGCTTCAAGGTTTTCTTAGGACCCCACTTGGCACGGAAAAAACCCACTTGTGAACTTGATGAATAACTTGGCGCGTAAGCGCCGCTCTCAGCCGGCTGTCCGCCGCGTAATCAAGCTAAGAGGTTAGTCCGGACAAAGGATGGCAAAGGACGGTAAAAGTAAATGTGGTAAATTTGTTGGTGAGTCGATACCAAAGATTTATGTTTTACTATATTTGTCCTCCACACGCGCGCCGTTCTGGTCATTCTGGTCAGTTACTGCTCCACATAAGTGGATTCTCAGAAATACTGAGAACATCGACCAAAAGAGAACTTTTCTACATGTGACATCATGTGACAAACTTCTCTAGCCGCGATGGCACAAAGAGTAGAGTCACGCGGAGAAATGCTATGGTAATGTTTTTGTCGCACTTTGCCTTTTTCAGACAAATGGGCCATTTCTGTGCTGGCCCCCAATGCTCAGTTGTTTTGACTCCGGAAATTGATGAAGAATGGTCCGATGGAAATTTGCCTCATACAACCCGCAATCCTTGAAACGCACTGACCGAGAAAGAAGAGTCATAGATGCACTTTCAAGCAACGATGTCATTGCTCTGGCTGGCACTAGGTTGCCTGAGACTGACCTTACCGTTTCCAAACGGAGAGTGGCCTCACACATTGTCTTCAGTTGGGGCTATGGCCATGGGAAGCTCACCAACAGCCATGCAGGAGTACAGCTGTGCCTCAAAAACAAAGTTTTCAAAGAGCAAAATGTCGTTCAAATCTCCAGCCCGCCGGCCGCCTTGTAAGGTCGCGGTGGGGCGCTTCGAGTCAAGCGCGGTGATGCAGATTTTTGTTTCATTGTGGCATATTTTCATCCTAGTTCCAACTTGCCATACTCACACAAAGTCAATGATGCCTTGTGGAAATGGGTGGATTCAGTTGTCAACGAGCTGCCTTCACGATGCGTGCCCTGCTTACTGGGCGACATCAACGCCAAAGTGGGGCAAGAACCAGTTGGAAATGGCGTGCTGGCTGTTACAGACAGTTCGTGCATTGGGCCATGGAACCCCGAAGTACAGAATGAGAACGGGCACAAGTTTCATGAGTTCTTACAGCGACACTACATGTCTGCAGTCAATACTTTTCATAATGCTGGTCCCACATATTTTGGCATTGTGGCAGGATATACGTCTAGGATCGATCATATCTGTCTTCCTTCATGCTTGCTTGGACGGGTTCAAAGGTGTTGTGTTTGGCATAAAACAGGTGACAACTTGCAGCTGGTGGCTGCTCCAGGCAAAAGAGATCACCGCCCTTTACAGGTGGTGGTGGACCACACTCTGGCGTTGGCAGCCCCTCCTGCAACCCATGATGCGCCACACTGGGACACTGACAGGCTCATGCGTGGAGTGCTGTGGGGGGGAAAACAGAACACGTTTTGTCAAACAACTCGAGGCCAAATGCGACAAGCTGCTGCACAGTTTCGAGTGGCAACAAGCTGCGGCTGCCGCCGCTCCGGATGATAGTTGGAACTTGCTGCGTGATCTTGTGTTACAGGAAGCCAGACCACATTTTCAAAAACAACGCGCACACCAAACTGACAGACCCGCAGACACAGCTGCAGCGCTGCAATACCAGCACGAGTGCAAGTTACAAGTCCAGCGCCTTGCACGACCTCGCAGGCGCAGCTGGAATTCTGCAGACGTGTCACTGCAACAAGTTGCAGAGCTGCTACATCATTGGGGAGCACTGGCACGCTACTACAGAGCTCAGCGCGTGGCCAAGCGCCTCACCACACGTGACAAACGCAACATGCTGTGCAGACAAGTGGCGCAATTTGAAGCAGGCTGGACTATGTGCAACTTCAGGCAATTGTGGCAGTCAGCCCGTCAACTCTCAGGCCGTCGAGTGGGTCCCAAACAACGCCGATTTGACCGCCCTCGGAGCTGCCAACCTTCTATCCAAGACTGGTGTGACTATACGCTGCAACCTGGGCCCCAAGGTGGCTGCGAAGCTCAAGCTACACGTCACACTCCTGGCACAAGTGAGTGGCAGACACGCTCTGTACTGGACTGGCAGTGGCGAACACGAATGCAAGACCTTGCTGATGCTGATTTTGCACGTGTTGCTAGAGAAATTTGGCGCGGCAAAACTCGTCGCAGTGCACCACCCTGGACTGTACCAAATGAAGTTTGGCGCATGCTGTTCTACCCGAACTACCATGCCAGACCTGGTCGCAGCGGGCTTGGTTTTGAAGAGGAGCAAATATCCACGCCATATTTTTCTGCTTGTGTGCAACGTTTGTTTTTGCAAATTCGCTGTGCATCCTCTGCCCCCATTGAGTGGCATTGCTCGAATGGCGTTCAGATTGACAAAAAGAATGGCAAACCTCTCTGTCAAGGCCTTCGGGTCATCAACGTGCTTGATCCGCTGGGGAAACATTTTTTTTTCGAACTTTGTGGAGACGAGGCAGGCCCCAGTCTTTGCGTGACTATGCAGCAGGATATGCCAAGAACAAGAGTCGTGAAGAGGCAATTCTGCAACAATTGTGCGTGGGCCACAGACTTTCAAAGGCCAAGGTTGGACACGCTACCTTCTTCAAGGACATCGCCAATGCCTTCTACAGTCCTAACCATGATGTGCTTGACCGTGCCATTAGGAACACTATGCAACAACAGGACGTCGCCCTACTCCAGCAACGTCACCGTGCAGCTAGCATTTTTTTGCGCGCTGCAGATGGCACAGTCCTCCTTGAACCTGGAAGTGGTGGTCTACAGGGTGACAGCTTTGCTTCCGACCTGTTCCTTGAACAATACCATCCCCTTGTTGACGGATGGCTACGTGATTTGGGCAGTGATGACAGACGTAGCGGCATGCAGGTGCTGGACCCTGTCAACAACAAGGTCGTGGACGTTTCCATTTCTGCTTATGCCGATGACCTTGCCATCAAAGTCATTTCACAGACTTCGTCCGAATTACAAACAAAAGCCACTACATTGGATGATGCATTGGACGCGAGGTTGGCCAGTGCTGGCCTGGCTCAAAACCGCAGCAAGCAAGAGGTTGTGGTACATTTTGGTGCAGTGTCTCAGGAACACATGCGCAGCACTTACAGTGGACAAGTCAGACTGGAAGGGCGCGTTTTGCCCAAAGCAAAATACTTGGGAGAGATCTATGTTCACAATGGCTCAACTACAGCTGCACGGAAACATCGCCTTCAAAAAGCTCAAGCCGCTTGGGTCAGCATGGGTGCTTTCTGGACACGACCAGGCTGCTCTAGACGTTCCATTAGCATTGTTTTCAGAGCATTGGTCTTCGAAACAGCCTAGTGTGGTCTTGTGCCATATGTTCTTTGCAAGTCGGACTATGTCGCCATTGACGCGTTCATCACTGGCAAAGGACGCAAGCTCATGCGTGGCTGGGCTTGCAGGAAGGAAACACAAGCAGATGGCAGTACCAAGCCGTGTCCAATGAGGTTGTCTGGAAATATTTGGGTCTTGCTCCCAGCCAAGTGGAAATGCAAATTCGCCGCTTGCAATTTTGGCAAAGAATGGTCCAACAACAAGCTCTACATTGCAACGTGCTTGCGGCTGTCTTCGGCCATCTTCCATGCGAACGGGTGCCGCCGCTACAGCCTGACGGTTCTCTTCCCGAACGGGCGCATCCATGGCTGGTGCAGTTGCTACAAGACTTGTCTGCGCTACAGGACATCCCTGACACAGCTCACATCCCACAAGCTGTGGATGGCAAACCGTTGCGGCTTTTCCTTCCTGAAGTTGCAGCTGATTTCTTGTATATTGACGTCACCATCCTTCGACGCCGATTCCTCTGCGCCAACATTCCGCCCCCAGGCTTGGAACTGCCAGCGCCCGAAGTTGAAGAGGCAGCAAACATGGAGGAAGCTGGGCTGCCAACTCAAGTACCCTCGCCGGGCCCGCAGTGAAGCGACGCCAGGTTGGGGGTGACAAGGAAGAGCTGATCATGAAGGTGATGCAGCTACTCTTGAAGAACAACTTGAAACTGGCTGCGGACGTGAGGGCCTTGCAGTCTGCGACGTTCCGCACTTGCTTGATCCCTTCGACGGCCAGCTTTGTGGTGAAAGCCAAGGAGGCCAGCCAGAAGTACAACGAGCTTGTGCAGGCTGCTGGAAAGAACCGTGAGTATGGCCCTCCCCATGTCCATGTCTGGGCAGCCATCGCAGCTGAGGCAGCAGTGCACATGTCTGGTGATGCACGTGCAGTTTTGGACAGACATATCTCTGAGATTGATTCGCCGGACAAATTGCTCCAAGATGTCCTCTACTGTCGTGTGGCTCCTGCATATGGCGGCAAGCATGTGAAGATTTACTTGACCACTACTGAGAAACTGAGGCCGGTAGCAGATGTTTTTTCCAAGCCTTCAAAACTCAGCAAGGCGAAGAGAAATTTGGGCAAGCCCCAAAAGGTGGCTTGGAACGTGAGTTACAAACACTTTTGGAAGAAATCCAGAGTAAGTAGCGCGAAACAATGTGACGATCGCAGGTGTGAGTGCCTGCATCCGATCATTTGGGGGTACCCGCGGTTCAGTGGTGTGGTGCCTTTTGGGTGTTTTTGTTTTGCTTTGCTGTGTTTACTTCACACTCGGCTACCCCCATGCGAGCTGCACTGAGTCAGTGCCTCTGTTCTGAATAGGGAGGACGGCAGGCAGAATGGCCATCGGGTACAGGCAGAGTGCTCAGCTAGGCAGATTGAAGCGTCCGCCACAAAGCTGTGAAGAAGAAGAAGAAGACAAACTTCTCTGTATAAGTTTGGATAGAACATTACAACATTCTATTTTGCATTTGTCACCCTTAGAGTAAAGGAATCACATGTCAGCAAAGCAACTATGTCAGCAATGCCACCAATTCGACAAAAGCGTCCAGAGTTTCTGAGTTTCGAGAACACACCAACTCCAACGATTTCGCGTTGAAATCCAAAAGGATCTTTCTTTCGTCCATCGAGATCATCGATAAGTTTCGGTCGATTTCATTGGACACCACCGTTTTTTACCGCTTCGTATGTGCCCTTGAAAGTAACTCCGTTCGCTTAGCCAGCGCGCTGGCGCGCAGGGTTCCCGATCCCGAGCCACGGGGGAATCGGATCCGTTGCGGAGCGGGAATCGGAAAGGATTCGGATGGATTTCACGTGCCTTCGCACAAAAACGATCTCCGCGCAGGTGTCAAGTGCCTTTTTGGAGAGGGAACCATCCTTCCTACAGTTGGTGGCCAGGCAGGCAGTTGGTGGGGAAGGCGCTCTTCAAACTGCCGAGTCGAACTCTTGGGCGAAGAACGGGACAGTGGCCGGAACTTGTTAAACTAAGAAATTCAGGTAGGCACTCACTCAGGGAACAAGCGTGGGCTTTTTGAAACCTCAAACGGAGACCACTCAGTCCGCTCGAACACGGAAACGTATGTGGATAAACCACTCAGACAATTAGATGGTTTGCTTGGAGTCAGAAAAGAAGCAGACGAATATATAGTAATAAAAAGAAGAAGCAGAAGAAAAATAAGAAGAAGAGGAAGAAGCAAAAGAAGAAGCAGAAGAAGAAGATCAATAGTAATAATAATGACAATAATAAGAATAAGAAACATAAGAATAAGATGAAGAAGCAGAAGAAGAAGAAGAACAAGAAGAAGAAGAAGAAAAAGAAGAAGAAGAAGAAGGCAACACATAATAACAATAAGACAAATCAGAAGAAGCAGAAGAAGACGAAGAAGAAGAAAAAACAGAAGAAGCAGAAGACGAAGAAAGAGAAGAAGCAGAAGAAACAGAAGTTTAAGAAGAAGAGGACGAAGAAGAGAAGAAGAAGAATATGAATAAGAATAAGAAGAAGAAGAAAAAGAAACATAGCAATCATAAGAATAAAAAGAAGAAGAAGAAGGAAAAAAAAACAAATAGAAGAATATGTACGAATCCCATTGCACAGACCCTGAGAGATATCTATTTCTATTTTGCATAGCGTCCAGTTGTGACTCTCCGCTCCTCCAAGATTTTTATCTCGGCTACGCAGGCTGCGTCCGAGCTTGGGTATCGAGCCGTTGCGGTTTCCCGTGGACGTGGCCGTGCGCTGCTTGGGGTGGAAGGCGAACCTGATGGAGGGCCTGGAGGTTTTCACAGGCGGGTAGGTTTGGGTGTGGTGGTTCATGTTGTAGCTGCTTAGCTGGTGTAGATGGCTGGATTTGATGAGAATGGACGTGGCGCACATGTGAACTCTACACATGCGGCACATGAGAATGGCCATTGATCCCACGACATGGCACTCGAGGCAAGTACCCACCCATGGACGCGTCCTACCAGTCAGTGACGATGCCTGGCCTCTACTTTGCAGGTGGGATGACGGGACGCATGGGATGCTGAAGCGTCGATGGACGCATCATTCCAGTGCTCCCACCTTTTGGAGATCGGGATGGGTTGCTCTGGCGGTGTTTGTCATTCGACGGTTGCTGTGAACGTGACCCGTCTGACGCGTGTGGTGAGGAACATGAGGACAGACTTTCACTCTAGCTTGCCTACAGCTTGCCTAGCTTGCGTAGCTAGACCTGGTGGACCAAGGGTCGCTTGTGGTCGCTTGTGGTCGCTTGTGTGAAGGGACCCCAACAGCCCTGAGAAAACTCTTTTACCCCATGGACCTTGGAGAGGTTCCGTCCTCTACCCTGCGGTAGTAGTGAGGACTTGGGTCTTGTGACCATCCGGTCTTGAAAAGGAAACGTCTCATTTCTCAGCAGGTCCATGCTGTAACAGTTTGAAGCACTTGGCTTTCAGTTTCGGACTGGACCTCCCCGCTCGTCCTCAATGTCTTCTGCACCGTGGAATCCAGGAGCAAACCCTTCTCCCTTCTCCAGTGCATCTCAAATCTCTGTCCCAGCACCCAATCTCTGAGACGTCTTTTTTTGGCACCGAAAATACCACACGGGACCCTTCTCCGTCGGGTCGGCGACATCCAGGCGCTGTGAGCCATGGCCGTGACTATCGCAGATCAGCTGGAGGCTTCATCCACGGCTTCAGGCGCAGCCGGATCCGGACACAGGTGAGTGTGGTGAAGAGCGGCAGCTTCTTTGGAGATCTACATATTGGCCATATACGGCAATTAAATGCAATTAATGAGATTGGGAGAGACCCTTGGATACGGAAGTCCTGGATTCCCCAAAGAAAAAAGAGCGCTGATGCTGAGCACCCCATGTACCAGAGATAGCTGATGATATCAGGTCATGCAAGTGAACGAAACAGCTCAGAAGGAGTGTGGATCAACTCTCACCGTAGTTCAGAAGGAGGACCTGTCAAAATCAAAACACGGATCCTGCCGTCGCACACAGGTGATCTGCCGTCGCCTGGTCCCCAACGACAGGTACACTGCTCGGGCGTTGCACCGCATCCTGCAGCAGCGAGGCTGCCACGGCGGGTGGCCGAATCGAAGCTTCCAAGTGGCGGAGCACGGCTGGATGCAGCAGGCAGGGCAAAGCGGCTGGGCTGGCAGGGCTGGCAGGGTGGGCAGGGGGTCCAGGACTCATTTTTCAGGCCGCTTGAAGGCCAGGGGCTAATGTAGTGAAGTAGATGGTTGGATGGAAATTGGGGATCAACAGCTTTTGGTGTTCATCAACAGCTTATTTAGTATTCAGGTTCTGGACATTTGGGCTGGTGACATGCCACATCCACATTGTGCGGAATCTTTTTTCCTTCCTGTTTTGTGGCAGCGACAGATGTGGACCGATATTTTTGGGGCCTTGATTTCCTTGAAAGGTACCCCTTCGAGTTTGGATACAGCGAGTTGGATGTATCCATGACATGGCCGAAATTTGCAGATGGGAGCCTCGACCCAAGTCCTTCGAAATAGCTTCAGATGAGACTTCGGGGAGACGGGGAGACTTCTTTTGCTCCACGCATGATCATGTGGACCTCACTCCTCGCATTCTCTCACTCACAGTCATGTCTGGTAGGAAAGTCTCAGCTTTTCAGGGACCGCCGCGATTTCGACCGACACCTTCACCGAACGGATCACCAGCCCCTTCCGCCAGGTCCTGGAGCGGGTGAATGAAGCCGCGGGCCGCTTGGGAATCAGACCGGTGGTACACGTGTGTGGTGGTGTGGTGTTGAGGGTGGCAAGCAACCGGCAGGTGACAAAGGCCAGAAAGGGTGATGTGTTTAAACATGTTTTTTAATCATTTGCATGCAACCTAAAAGAAACATCAAAATCTATAGCCGGGGGTTTAGAGGAGGACTTCTTCTAGACAGAGGAGCAAGATAGTGGCGGGCCACTGTGAACAGATCATTTGAATGCATGTTGGGCATTCGGAAGTAGACGTCACTTCTGAGATCTTCCAAAGGACCACCCATTTGAGCCCGCTAGCTGGAAGAGCCTGCCAGGACGCGTGGACGTGTGTGTCCAGATTCCTCAAAAATGGGAAGGCGGTTCTTTTCGCCCCCTCTAAGAACTCTCAGACACCTCGTTTTTCGTGTTTTCTTCGTTGGGAGGAGACGAGGTGAACAACCAAATACCAGATCCGCAGCATGTGGGAGCCGGGAGATGGGGATCCGTATCCACAGCATGTGGAAGCATGTGGGAGGGACTCGATCGCATTGGATCGGACCGCCCAATCCTGCGGAAGTCAGAGGAGTACAGCGGATTTGACAGAGTCGTGAGCAAAACCTACCTCCGACCGACCCCGGGTGAACTAGAACCTCACCCAATCAACCAGCAAGAAGATAGAAAAGTGATGAAAAGTGTTTCAAGCGAAGGGAAAAACTGAACGGACATGATCGGACGGTTGGGCCTGAAAAAGTGTCGCTGCTTGTGGGTGGGCTCCCCAACTGGTGAGGCCCCTATCAGATGTTCGGCGAGCTGGTGGATGTGGTCCTCTTTTTCGGCGAACAGGTGCAGTATTTGGAGGAGACTTCGGTGAGAGCAGAGAGCAGTTTTCAAGGAAAGGGAGGGACACAGACAAACGCAGCTTCACCTAAGTGGAACGGAGTGCGTCGAAGCGGGCATGCCTTTGCGTGACTCAATTACCGCTGCAACCCTGCTACCGAGGAGCAACCTTTGGCCTTCGCCCAAGAACAGTTCAAGATGCAACCACGAAGCTCGGCGGGTTAGCGGTGGTGAGTTGACCAGGCAGTGATGCCCTCGCCTTTTTAGATCCTTGTAGCACACGTGGCTGAAGCAACGGATCCTGCACTTCAATCCGATTTATTTGTTTGTTTATTTATTTATTTCTCTCTCTCTCTCTCTCTTTCTTTTGTAAGACTAGCCTGTTCGGTTTCCTGCGTGGTTCTGTGCAAGTCTCTCTTTTTCTTGCACCTTTCGATGCAAAAGCTAGGCGGCTAGGCCATGTGAAGTTTCTCTCGCCCACGTGGGGAGGAACCCGAAAACAGGAACATTCGCTCCCCTCAGGGCTGCTGTTGAGCTTCGTCTACGGCCGGCGCTTTAGCGCCACGGATTTACCCAGCCCGGGTGCCATTGGCCGCTTGGGATGCACATCGGCCACCGCTGCTGCTGCTGCTGCTGCTGCTGGCGTTTTGGAGTTCCGACAGTTGCACTGAAGCCCAGGATTTGGGGTGGGGAATAAGACAAGGCCAGACAAGGCTGTTTAGTAACTAGCTGTTGGCCAAAACCAAAACTCAAAGAGCCATGTCCTGCTTGGCATCCTTAACTGCGGTATTTTTGGTTGTTCCATGCATCTTTCATCCGAAAGTTGTTTTAGTCTCGGTATTTCAGCTTGGGTGCCCATTCTGTGCGACCGCCGGCTTGCAAGCTGGACCGCACCTGACATGAGGTGTGAAGCTCGCTGTTGCAGATTTGAACAGAACAGAACCACGAGAAGTGTCAACATTTAGGGAATTCTTTTTATCTTAAAATATAGAAATAGGCCACCCCTTTTACAGCTGAATATGGGGAACCGACCTTTGTAGTAGCTGTGTCTTTTCGTTTTGTCCCTTTTCAAGACACAGAGAGGCCAGCGACTCGACCGATGTCGTGGAGAGAAGTATGGCTCCATCCGTTTCATCGGTCACATCGGACTGTGATCCGATCGCCCCGGACTGGGCGGACGCCCGCCCCTCTCTCTCCAGACCACGCCCCGAGGGTTTCACGACGGCCGGTGGAGTGGTCTGGGGCGACGGAGAGAGTCCTCCAGGGCGGTTTTTCGGTATTTTTTTCTGCAGGTGTGGACTTTGGAGAACTCTCGGCCTTCCTCCATCCGCGCTTGGAGCTTTTTGGGCCCTGTGAAGGTTGGGGAGACATACATATACATAAATGTGTTGCGAGGAGAGGGATGGTTGCTGGTTTGGTTGGCAAGTGGTGATCATAGCTAGTTAATTACCTTGGTTGGATTTTATTTGGTTGCTTGTTTAGCTGGGTCTGCTGCTTGATTGATTGCTAGGTTCTGGTTGATCTGGTTGTTCGGACATTATTCCTCCCACATGTCCTTACTAGCTTCTTATAGCTACTTTTCTGCTGTCTTGTGGTCCAAGAGCTTGCAGAGTTTTGAAACGTTGAAGGATGCTGGTGTTCCACCTGCCATGCCCCTGGACACCGCGCGACCTCGCATTGGATTCATCACCGCGACCTCGCGTTCGTCCGAACTGGCGCCAGGCCCAGGGCATTGTCCACCCAATCTCTCGCATGCCATGGTGGAGGCCGGGGGATTCGAGGATTCGAGGGGAGGTTGACAGACATGTAGGGGTCGTTGACAGCATGACAGACGCTGCACGGTGAAGAAAGACACTGGTACTTGTCATGGCGGCGATCCTGAATCGCTCCGCTTTGGGCAGATTGGTTGGGCTCCGCTTTGGGCGGCGCGGCGTGTCGGCGGGCGGGACGAGGTGGGTGATGCGTACAGCTCACTCTCGGCTGTTGCAAGTGTTGTGGGGGCGAAAGTGCGAGACTGCAACGTACCGACTGCAACGTACTGGGAACAACAACTTATATAAAAGTACACTGAGGAGACAGTTGATTTCAGTTATTGAATATTTTGAATGAAGCCACCAAATGCAAGCCTTACCATTGGGCACGAAAGACAAGAAGATGCAGACCACAGCCAGTCTACGCCCGACCACAGCGTGATTCTACGCCCCACAGTGCAGAATACGACTCTGCAGGTCACTCCCCGTGCGATCGTTCGCTGGAGGATGTCTACACCGACTGGCACTCCTGGTTGGGACATGTCGACCCGCTCTTCGGGTTTCTTCAGGCGAGGCGCTCTAGCGACGTGGCGGGAAGAATTCAGCTCCAGGATCTCACATCGCCCACATGAAAAATGCCAGGCTCCAGGTCTGTTTTGGACCATGAAAACCATGAAACCCATCGCTGTTGCAGGGGGTTCGGGATTTTCATGGTCCAATGATTCAAAACAAGAACGCTGACTTGTGGCCCTTGTGGCCCTTGTGGCTGTGATGTTCGAACTCTGGCCTCGCGGGTCGTGAGAGGCTTGTGCTGATAGGGCAGCGAAGTGGCTGAGCGCAGGCAGCGCAGGCAGCGGCCCGGGTCTTGCTTGGTCAGAGATGATGGTGATGATGATGATGATGATGATAAGGGCCATTAGCTCTCAGGTCCCCCAACCTCCCCAAGGTGGGGGGGCTAGTGCGGAAGGCCCCAGCTCATGGTCAACCTGGCCTTTGACCTGACCGTGTTTCTTGGGTCCCTCCAGTACCGGTCCTACGCCCAGCTTTTTGCAGGATCCCAAGACGGTCATCCCTTCCACACGGACACCAAGACAGGAGGGGGCGCGGACTTTTCGCTCCACTTCTTGAACATTGTTGGGTTCTTCCTGACCTACTTCCTGGACTTTCTGCACTACCAGGTCTCCTCTTCACCTTCAAGACATAGATCCTGGACTTCAAGATCGACCTCCCAGGTCTTAGCAGAAGGGACGAGAGCTAACCGGGGTCCCAAGTCCCCGGCCAAGGCACGGATCCTCCTCATCGCTGGAGGCTTTCTTTTGGTCTTCATAGAGCACTACATGACCACGCTCAACCCAGATGCTGTGCCTTGGAGGCCCGAGGGTTCCGGACCTGCCACGAGGTTCGGGGGAGCCACCCAATTCCTGGCCCTACATCACCCTTCTATGGCGAAGCCTAGTGGCCTTGGACCTACCTCTGAACATCTGGAACATCAAAACCCTCAGCACAGGAAGAAATCCTATATTCGTGCACTCAAACGAGCTCACCTACATGGGCACACTTGGTATCGTGGACGCCTCCTCACGGCTGCCATGTTGGGCATTGACGAAACTCCACAGCCAAGGCCACAGGACACCTTGAGATCCTCTCAGACTCCCAATACTCCTCCTCCGGCAAAGGTTCGGAAAAATCGGCTCACAGGTTTCTGCTGGAACATTTGTTCACTCAGCAACTACAAATTCGACATTCTCCGTCAATGGATGCTCTCACAACACCTTGACATTATGATTCTGCAGGATACTCGCTGGGGCTTCAGTGGTGATTGGTCAGACAAACACTATGCCTACATCCACAGCGGCTCCACAGGGAAAACTGGCGGGCTGATGACCATCATCCGGAAAGGGTTCTGTGATCTCGACAGGATCTCATGGCGTGCAGTGGTTCCTGGACGACTACTACATGTCCGACTTTACCTTCCTTCCACGGGCATTGACATCATCAATGCCTACCAACATGCCTGGATCCAGAATGATCCAGTTTGCCTTCAGCACCGACGAGCACTGCTACAAGCTTGCAAACAGCTCGTGGCTGGGCTGCCTCAGAGGAATGTGGTGATCCTTGGGGGAGATCTGAACACAAGCCTTCACCGGACAACGCATTGTGTAGGCCTTAGCGACTTCCAGGATGAAAAGGGGCGTCGGTCCGGGCCACGGCATCCGGACTCCCATCTCCTTGGAGACCTTCTTCTTCAGCGTGGCCTCACGGCTATCAACACCTGGGACACCAACCTGGGCCCCACCTACACCGGAGGGCACTCCAACAAATCCAGGATTGACTTTGTCTTGGTCAGGCACAAATCAAGCGACTCCCTCACCAAGAAGCCCGTCTACCTGGATGAGCTCCCTCAGAAGTTTGGTCACTCCAAAGACCATGTTCCCATCCTCTTCACCGTTCCCTACAAATGGAGAGCTTGGGCCAAACCCGCTTCTGGCCTGTCTCGTGGACAACGCGACCTTCTCCTACGACATTGGGAACTTCAGAGCGAGGAATGGAACTCTCTTTGCTCCTCCATAGAGCACAAGATTGGGCTACTCTGGGATCAACCTCCGGACTTGGAAGCCCTCAACACAGTCCTTCTTGATGGCTGCAAAGACTTTGCTCCTCTATCCAGGGGTCAACAAGATCGTCCTTCCACCTTCTGGTCCTGGGCGGATGGCCATCCTGGCCTTTCTCTCCCACCAGTTGCTACAAGGACTCACTTTACCAGCAGACTTCAACAGCTCTTTGGGCTTTGGGCTAAAGCAGCTAAAATTCAACGATGGAAAAGGACCACCCATCAAAGAGCCAAGGCTGCCAAAAAAGCCAAGCTCTCCGACACTATTGCAGAGGCTAGGCGGCACTGGGCGAACAACGCATCGCACAGGTACTTCAAGGTGGTCAACCGGCTCACCCCCAAAGTCAGACCTCCTCGACCTCAACTTCGTCGTTCTGAAGGACAACTCATGGCACCAGAGGAGGAACTTTGTTGGATTCAAGACTACATGGCCGACCTCTATGCAGGCCCGGACCTCACGGGCATTCAATTCCAACTTGAAGCTCTACCCTTTGATGCCACAGACCTCACTCACGAACTACAAGGTCTCTATGGACGCACCAGTGTTCCTCAGCACATTGCTCCTAGCTTCATTTGGAAGGCGCTGGCTCTCTCGGTTGGGCCCTTGGTCTTCACCTGGCTGGAACAATGGATGTACTCTGGCATCATTCCAAATGAATGGAGGAAAGGCTGGGTGGTCCTACTGCCCAAACCAAACAAACCTCCAACTGAACCAAAAGCACTTCGGCCAATTGCTCTTCAGACCCCTCTCTCCAAGACAGTCATGTCTCTTTTTGTACATGAAGCCAGAAAGATCACATTCCCAGCACTGACATGGTTTCCACAATTCGCCTACCTGCCGGGCAGGGGTACCTGGGAAGCAATCACCAGGGTTCAAGCTCATTCTCGGGAGGTTTCAGAGCTTCATCGTCGTTGGAGATATGACGCCAGTCAAGTGAACGGGCACGGGGGGAAGCGTCCCCTTCTGTTTGGAGGGTGTCAACTTTTCCTGGACCTCACAGGAGCCTTTGACGCAATGCCGAGGGAACACCTCGCTGCAGCATTCTCTCTCCTTGGTCTCCCCAATGAATTGACATCTCTTTTGATGAAGTGGCACACCGAAACCTCATACATTATTCAGTGGAAAGGCATTTCAGCCGAACAGGCTACCTTCAGGGGAGTTCGACAAGGCTGCAGGGGTGCCCCCTTTTTCTGGGCCAGTTTCATTGCACTAATTCTGCAAATGGTAGCGACTGAAACCTCAGAGGACTGGATGCGGAAACACTGCACCTTCTATGCGGATGATGGTCATGCATGTTTTGTCTTCAGAACCTTCGAGGAACTTCAACAAGGCCTTGTTTTCTTTGGCAAACTTATCTCTGTACTTGAACGCATGGGCATGACGGTGAACATGCAGAAATCAGCTGTCATCCTTCGCTGGGGCGGCAAACAACAGAGTCTAGCCAAGCAACGCTTCGTGCAAAAGCAGCTGGATCGCTCGGTTTTGCTCATTCCAAAGGCAGAAGGTGGCTCACACGCAATACCAATCACTGAGAAGCACGAATATTTGGGAGTCCAAATGGGATACCACAACTTTCAAAGAGACACCATGAAAGCACGTCTTCAAGCTTGCAAAGCTCGTTTCAAGCAGATGCAACCTTGGTTCACAAAGAATGGCATGCACTCGGCTCAGAAGGTGGCTCTGTGGCAGACATGCATTTTTCCCATAGGAGTCTACGGATTGGATGCAACAGGTGTGGATCACGCCTCAATTCCCATGTTCTCCAAGACCATGACGACAATGTTAAGACAAGCAGCCGGAGATCATTCATTTCTGACTCACACCACTCATCTTGATTTTCTGACCGACAACCACCTTCGGCACCCGGCGCTACTGCTTCGGGAGCGGATGGCCTCTCAGGTGAAGAGGCATGAGGACCGGATTCAACTTCTTGAGGCTCATGACATCCTCCAACATCTTGATCTCCATGCTTTGGGCACATCAATCAACCTTGTTGACACATGGCTTCAGGACCTTGGAGATCTGGATCTTCAGCCAAAGCTTCCACTGGCAGAGGCCGGACTGGACTGTCACCAATGTGGGCAGACCTTTCAGTTTCTCTACACCTTGAGACGACATGAACTGTTTGTTCACGGGATTTTGCATGGCGCTGGTCCCGCCTTGGACATAGCTAGAGATGCAGTTGAAGGGAAACCTACATGTCGGCACTGTGGAGACTCCTTCATAAGTTGGCAGAATTTCCGGCATCACATCAGCTCCTATGCATGTTCTGAATTTGACTCCACCAAGGCTCCGCCAGCACAACTTCAAGAACATCGACAACGGCTGCTGGCATACTTTGATGAAGGTGACATGGCACCCCTTGCCAATGACAGGAGTCTTTGCTACTTTTTGACCCAACGGTGCATTCTTTGCGGCTTTTGGTCATCACGACTGCAGCAAATGTCTGCACACATGGGAAGAGATCATGGAGACATCTATGGCATGATGGGGGACGTCCTCCCAAATGTTGTTCGAGCTAGGACCAACTCTCCATGTGAACTTTGTGGACAAGAATTCCGCTCCAAGACACACACCTGTCCGGTGAAAAAGCAGCTAGGTCTTGCACTCGCCTACAGGAAACACCGGGAGCAGTATCCGGCATGCCCTCCACCAGTACTTCAACCTCCTCAACGGATGGATGCACAATTTGCCTGTGCTCAATGCCCACGGAAATTCGTGACGGCAGCAGGTCTAAATCAGCACCAGGCTATGGAACATCAACACTCTACGACCACGAGGACCTTCATGGCAGCGAGGGATCAAGTACCAGGCCTCACACAGTGTGCTCACTGCAGCGCCTCATTCCTTTGCCTTGCCGCCTTACGGCACCACATTGACGGTGGCCAATGTCCTGAACCCCTTCCAGATGCTCCTCCTCTTCTTTGGCATCATCCACTGGTGATCTCCGGCCTGCATGGAGGAACTTACGATCACCTGATGGCCTACAAATCACTGATTCGTAGACTGGGCTACATTTGCGGACTGTGTGGACATCAATCCTCCAGCTCATCTTCCCTATTGAAGCACCTGAGCACGGCGCATGCCACTACCTGGACCATGGCTTCTTCTTATGCCGAATGGCTCCAAACCGACAGTGCTCTACGGAACCTGGCCTGTTCCTGCCTCAGGCCACCCTCGACACCACATGTTTGCACCGTCTTCACGCAGCTGGCATTGTTTGTTCACCACGACCTCTACAAGCTGCAGAATGCTAGCGATGAACTCATCCTGGCACATGCACTGCGACTGGACCTCCAAGTGCTTAGCCCCACGCTGGCCCTGAACTTTCCGGACCTTGACAGCATGCTCACGACGGGCAACTTTGAAGAGCTTCTGACGGATAGCGCTCTTTGCACCGCTCTCAGTACATGGTGCTGCTTATGTGGAAGACAAGTTGACCCAAGAGACATGCTGCAACACATTTGGAACAACCACTCCAAACAAGGGAATCGTGGTGCCTTGTTTTACAAGTTTCTGTCCTTTTCTCAAAAACGACAGCAAACATGTTCCATTTGCAGCAACCACCCCACCGCAGTACAGTGTCCAGTTCTCCTCCAACTGTCCGGCCTACTTGCCATCCTCCACCATGGACATGGGGGACAACCAGATCTCGGACATGTGGGGCGCTCTGAACCAATGGGTGAAGATGGAGGTGGACGAGGACAAGCAGAGCGCAAAGCGCCCGAGGTCTTCCATGTCGAATGGAGGGAAGGGGCCGGGCAAAGGAAAAGGAAAAAGAGGCCAGGGGAAGATCCTGAACACCAAGGACGAACCCACACAAGATACAAAGACGCTCCTTCAAGCCATGACCCGACTCGTCCTTCGGCGCGAAGACACACTCCAATGCCTGGCTATGGAGACGGACTTCTTCGTTTTTTTGAGCGTGGGTCCAGGCTCAGTGGTTCCTCTCATGATGGCCCAGACACAGACCTGGCAGCAGACACCACAGGCAGAGCGGACACATCCACTCCGGATCCTGGTCTTGAAGACCCTCCTGGAGGAATTGCTGAAGAGGATTCAGAAACTTCAATCCACGGGCTCCTCCGAGCCCTTGATCCAGACATTGCAACGCCTGAACTTCTTGCAGCTCGAGCCAGAGAAGCCCGAATCATACATGTTTCCTCGTATGAAGTGGAATTCCAGCAAGCAGGCGATGGAGGCTCAGGAGGACGCTCCTCTGACCTTGACCCAGGCATCCCAGACGGTGACAAGGATGCTCACTCTCCTTCAGCAAGAAGCTCTGGTCAAGAGATTCGGAGCACTACGCCCTCCCCAGCATATCCAGAAGGTAATGACCACGGAGACGGAGACACCTTCCGCCATCATCCCCTGGAGAATAACACTGGCCCTGGTTCATCCTCATGCCAACGAGATGCGGGGATTGTGGCACCAACTGAGTCACTCTGGGCTTTGGCAACTAGTGTTGGGCAGGATGCGCTCGGCCAGCATCCACCGGACACCACTCGCTCAGCACCTGGGCAAAATGCTGGATCAACTGTGATGGAACCCACCACTCCTCCTCTTCGGACACTTCAGAATCCAGCTGCAGCATGCTACATGAACTCAGCTGTGACTGGACTAGCCTGGAGTGCCCTTCATGCTGACGGGTTGAAGATGGATCAATGGTCCAACTTCCCTGGGGTTCTTGGGGAATTGACAGATGTGTCCAAAGGGCAACCGCTTCTTTTATGGTCAGATGGGCAGTGGACCTCACTCCTAGCCAATTGGTCCAATCCTTTTCGGCAACATGATGTGGTTGACTTTGCTCATCATCTTCTTCAGCAAACAAATCCCTTTTTTCTCAGCTGTTGTTGGGAAAGCCGGCTGGATGAGGAGGGCACCATGAAGGTGGTGGACCACAATGCCCAAGGATGCCCTTTGCATCTTTACATCTGCAGCGAACAAAAGAGCACGCTCCCCATCGATCTGCAGGGATTGGTCTCCACGTGGAGCCTAGCGTCATTCGGGTTACACGCCTTGACCGATCCATCCGATGTCACATGCTTGCACATCGACCGCTTCGACTCGAGGGGGGGGGAAAAGCAAGAACCGCCTGACATGGGACTCTAAGGTCTGGCTGCCCTTTTTTCTGGGCGAGAAGCTCGAGGTGGACTACATCCCATTTGTGGTCACCGGAGTCTCCTATCATCTCGGAGATGAAGCAACAAGTGGGCACTATTGCACTGCCATCAAGGACAAGGACTGGTGGTGTATCTTCGACGACTCCAATGAGCCGGTCAAGTTCTCGGCACTACCGCTGGTGGCTCAAGAAAACAGCTGCCTGCTTTGGCTGAACTGCACTCCGCACGGTGGAGCAGAAGAGGTGTCAAAGATGGCCGATGAATCACCCATCCTGACCGAGGAGGAGAAGATGCACAACATCATCCATGACCCGACTATCAACGACAACTGGCATGGAGCATGGCTTCGAAGCCTCGATCTCCTGGACACCAAGATCCTTGTGGACAATCCCAGCCTCTGCCACCGACTTGTGAAAAAATGCATCACCTGCGGAAGCTGGCCTCGGGACATGAATGGGCACCTGCAAGTGGCACATAGAACCTGGTGGAACGAGGCTGCCCCCTTGGCGGAGAAGAGTGCAGTGAGCTTCATTTCACACGCCCACCCAACGCGGTGGTGCGCTTGTCAGCCCTTCTTTGGCACCGGTCTTGAAGAAGACCATGTTTGCCCATGCTTGAGGCAGTTCGCCATTTTGCATTTGCAGTTGAGGTCCCATCAGAAAGAAACAGCCAGAGCATCCACACTAGCTCGGCTGTTGGACCAGACCTTTAGCTGAGGTTTCGGCCCCACGGGGCACCAGATGGACTAACAGGTCCACGCGATCTTCGACCGAAGAGCGTATGAAAGAAAGATGATGATGATGATGATAATAAGGGCCACTAGCTCTCAGGCCCTATACCTTCAAAAGGTACGGGCTGGTGCGGACCCCCCAAGCCCATGGGGTCACCCCGATCCTGGAGACCTCCCACAACCGGTCCTACATCCGGCTACTCGCAAAAATCCTTCAAGGGCATCCCTTCGAGACTGACCCTGGGGGTGGCACGGTCATCCTGGCTGCGGTTCTCTTTTTCAGGTGATTAATTTGTTTCTCCTCCGGAACTTTGAGAACTACCAGAACACCTCTTCCTCGAGCAGACTACGATTCCGGCCCACGAGAACAGCATCCCAGGTCCTTGCACCTACAGCACGAGCAAGCTGGGGTCCCAAGTCCCCAGCCAGGGCAGGCATTCTCTTCCTCCTTCTTGGTGGACTATCCGCCGACTACCTCGAAGACCATATGACCAAGCTGAATGCACAAGCCATGCCCTGGTGGCCTGAGGGTTCCGAACCAGCCACACGGTTCGGTGAAGCCTCATCAACCTTTGCCAATCAGGACACTTCAACGGCAAAGCCAAGTAGCCTTGGATCCACACACCAACGTCTGGACTATTACCAGCGCATTCCGAAGAAGAAATCCGCTCACATGGTACAAAGGGAAGCTTTATACAGCACAGATGCTTGGAGTGACTCCACTACCCTGGCAACCTCACAAGGACTCACCGGCCCCCTCAGGAGCTCAGAACGTTCCTCCTCCTGCCAAAATCAGGAAAAACAGACTCCAAGGACTCAGCTGGAACATTGGCTCCCTGAGCTCCTACAAGTTTGACCAACGGATTGACCTTCTCCTTCTTCAGGACACTCGATGGGGGTTCACAGGTGACTGGTCGGACAACACGTTTGCCTATATACACAGTGGTTCACAAGACAGGGCAGGTGGACTCATGACCATCATCAGGAAGGACTTTTGCCCCCCGGACAAAACCTCCTGGTGGGAGGTCCTCGGGGGCCGGTTACTTCATGCTCGACTTTATCTTGACTCCACTGGCATTGACCTGGTCAACCTCTACCAGCGCCCTTGGACAGGCTCTGACAACCAATGCAAAGACAAACGCTCAGGCCTTCTGAACACCTGTGATGGGCTCCTGGCGGGTCTTCCCCAAAGGAATGTGGTCATCCTCGCTGGAGACTTCAACACCAATTTACGTAAATCCATGAAACATGTAATTGTGTTAATTTCGGTGACTTAGGGGACTAAGTCGGCTGAGCGGCGAAGCTGCTAGAATACGAAGAGGGAATCCGCTGAGACTCCTTGACGTCCCCTTTCTTCTCTCAGTCACCGGAGGCGGGGCTGGTGTTGCCTCATCTTCTCTCAAGTTGAGGCAGAAGTGATTCCGTGAGCCATCAGGACAATTTTGCGCATCAAGGGATTCGTTTACTTTCCCACCAGACTGTAACCAATCACCTAAATGCCTGGTGCCCTCCATTCTCACTAGCAGGCGCACTGGCAGCGCCGGTGTGGTCAGCCTGTCTGACGACCAATTGTCATCCGCAAGGTCCCAGTCCCACGATTGCCACGATGATGACCACGCTTGAGGGTCCCGAGGGTGATCATGACGACCAGGCGTGCCAGTTCCATTGCCATGAGTGATCTTGCCATTCATGATCCTGTCCAACATCACCGTCAACGCGTTCAGCAAGTTGGTGGCGCCGGTCAGGAACAGTAGGTGGCTCAAAAGAAGAAGTTGGTGTTACCTCCACCACCATGGAAGAAATTGTGCCACTAGCACGGGCAGTGGATCGGCCACCCACTTGGCTTGTGGCCCCCAATCGCCCTTCCCTACCAGCCAAAGCAGCCACTCTAAGCCCACAACCCACTCCACCAGCTGGTCGCCCTGGCTGCCGCGACTCCTCGTAGTCGCTCTCCACCGGTCTCCACTGCGGGCGGTTCCGCGGCGGTGACGGATTGTCCAATGTCCGTTGCATAGCTCATCACTCACCTCACTGACCTGGATCGAGACGAAGGCGACGATGCATGATGGCAGAGCCCCCACGTACCTTGGGAGCCACGACCATGCAACGCAAACACAGAGTGGACGACCTTTTCGCACCTGGGAAGGTTGGGCGGACGACCACTCATGTACTTGAAGACGCGAGGGTGATTCATTTGACTAAATGCCAGGCTCCAGGTCTGTTTTGGACCATGAAAACCATGTACCCATCGATGTTGCAGGGGGCTCGGGATTTTCATGGTCCGATTATTTGTGGCCCTTGTGGCTGTGATGTTCGAACTCTGGCCTCGCGGGTGGTGTGAGGCTTGTGCTGATGGGGCAGCGTAGTGGCTGAGCGCAGGCAGCGCAGGCAGCGGCCTGGGTCTTGCTTGGTCAGGGATGATGATGATGAGGAGGAGGAGGAGCCTGGTCACAGGAAACCCCAAATGGTAGCCTTCTCCCTGACGTGCCATGAAATGAATATCAAACAATCCACAGGGCACTCCACACGGCACTTCGACCATTGCCGAAAGTTCTATGAGTCGCTGATTTTTGCATTTTTTCCACCAAATATCTGTTGAATTTCTGATGATGGCTGCGTACACATGTTACCAATTGCCGTACATTACTACTGTATATTACATCGTGTCATTTATACCACATTAAATGTTATACGGTATTGTAGTATGTAGCTACCTATTTTGATAGAAGTGGCATGGTTTTGTTCTAAGGTGGTATCACTCCACGCACAAACCGGGCACCACTCGCACCGCTTCCGCCGAAGAAACGCCGGAGGATGAGATCGACGCGGAGACCTGGCTGTGACCCACGCAGTGAGGCAGCGGAGGAGCTGCAACACGCACGCTGCAACGCTGCCGTCTCCCCAGGCCCACATGTAGCTCATTGATCTGCCCACGGATGAGTTTCCTGGCTTTACTGCAGTTCTCAGCGGTTCTTCACTGTTCTGTGTTTGGAGTCGGATGGAAGAAATTATGCGCACCAGTTCGCATGAACCGTGTGAGATCTTCCAAAAAGGCGACCCGGCTAGGGAGAAAAGACATCCTCAAAGATCTCGAAAAAGATGCACAGCTACATCGAGTGAGTGTTTGGTGTGATTCATTTTTGGAGCTGACTCTAAAGTGGCATCCCAGAGTCAAGTGATTTGTTGGGGTGCATAGGGTGGGAGCTGAAGAAGTTCTTGAGATCATCGATGTTCTCACATTCAGCTTGGCCTTCTTCTGTTCGCAATCACACTTTGGCCCAAGCCTTCAAGCGCTTGCCATGTGTGCCCCCTCCGTGTCCTTGTTTTTCAGCTTTGACACCCAGCATCCTATGCTAGCTTGGATCAGGTCAATTCTGGAAAGCAAATAAGCCTGGCGCGCGGCGCAACAGGATTTTCTTGGCGAACCAATGGTGCGAACGATTGGAAGAATGAGAACCCCGGAACAACTCCACCCTGGAACATTAATAACTTACCCTGGTATTCGGAACATCGTTTTCTGTCCAAAATGTCGACGCTGCAGCCAGGCATGATCTTATGCTGCAAGGCATGAACATGCTGGCTGTGAAGACATCTACTTCAAGTACTTCGACTTTAGCTGGAAGATGGCCGTGCTGAAGCTGCTTCGCCTGCTTTGCAGGTGTGGGTTCCTGCTCAAGCGTGGTTGCATGGTCGACATGTTGGACAAACAGTGCCAGACACACCAAGAGTTCTGACGGTGTTTGGTGTTGCTTGTCCAAAAGGTCGATGCAACCATGCATGATTCTATGTTGCAAGGGATGAACAGGCACTTTGGCACAGACTGATATGTATGCAACTGATTCCTTTGGCCGGGGCTTTGTACAAAGATGCTGATCTTGAACTACAGTCTGTAGCTTGATGGTGCTCATCTCGAACTACCGTGAGGTCGAACGCAGCTTCGGGACAACTCGCACCGTCCGTTCAGCATCCACTTCGGCTGTTCGCAGCACTGCCGGACACTGGTCCTTCGCACGGACCGAGCCGGGTCTTCGGGGTAGCCCGAGCCGGGCTCTTTTTCAGTGGCAGAGCGGGGAGTTTGGACCTGTTTGTTTTCGAAGGTGGGTTGCTGTATGACAGCAACAGTCATGTTGCCGTGTCGTGCTGCAAGTCATGCACATCCGGAGTCATTGGAGTTCTTCAAGCCGATGTCGTGCGAGGCTTCAACGCCTCTTCATTGCACAGTTTTGGTTGCAGATGACATCCTTCGATGCTATGTCAGATTCCATGCAGTGGAGTAACATTCTGCTTCTACACTATAGTTGCTTAGGGGCATGGCCATGTATAAGGCATGCACCTGATAAACCTGGCATGTTGCAACCACGTGCCGTGGCCTTCTCCACTGCGAGTCGTTGTTTCCCTCTTCACCCCGACCAGTCGCCGGAGATCGGCAAAACGGAGATCTGGGGGAGCGGCGTTGGATCCTTTCGGATTGGTTCGTTCTGAGCATCGGGATCCCACCAGGTGGAGGTTCTTTTTTCGGTTGGGTGCAACCGTGGATCCAGTCGAACCGGTGGTGCAAGGGTGGGAAACTTCTGGTTTTGGACGAGTCACCGCGTTGATTTGATGGGTTTTGCGAAAGAAGTTCGAACCGCTCTTGCACTGAGGATGTACTTTGCGCGTATTGGTGGCAGCTTCTCTACAGCCATCAGGACCGACCGACGTGGAGCAGAAGCTGCTTGCGTAGCTGGCAAGCTGAGAAGGTACAAGTGAGAAAGTTCTCTGAATCCACACCCGGAGGTGCCAAATTCGGAGGGTCAAACCTTGAAACCACACGCAGAGGCTCAGAGGTTGGGTTGTAAACCACACCTCGTGCTCAGAGGTAAGGCTCACCCAAAGTGCCTTACCGCCCAGCCTGGGTGGAGAAAAATCACAACCATCTTCCGACCTCTTTAATCCTTTTCTATAAATCCCGGAAACGGATTCGACCATCTTTGACACCATTCTCGCCTTCCGAAGCGGCGGCTTTGCTGCGTTCGTCGTCGTCTTTGCGTCGGGTCGTCGGGGCCACGGTCGGGTCGTCCGTGCCACGCAGGGGTCGATGGTCGATGCCAGGAGACGGCGACACCCGACCAAAGCAATGCCCGCCCGCTGTGGGGGCCCCTGATGCCGATGCCACGGACGTGACCGATGCTGAAGGGAGGGGAGGCGGTTCCGCGCAGAAATGGTGAAAGCGGATTTATTTGGGGCACTCTCCAGGTGGTGTGAAGACAAAGGAAAGGGCTGGAAAGCAAAATAATGGCTTCCCATTCCCCCTGCATAGGGAGCACACAGCTGATGGTTTTCAAATGTTTTCAATATTTCTAGCATCCAGTTTGATTTACTTTCGGTTTGGCGACGTCGGTCCTTCTGCCGGCCCGGACTCCCCAGTAATCAGTGCTGTACGCCGATCGGTTGAGCTTACTAGGTCGAGGCAGTTGAGATGAGGTCGGTGCTGACCCAAGTAGAGAACCTTCTCAGTCTTTGAGATCTCTAAGGTTATTGATTCAGGACCAATACTTGAACTTGTTGGACCGGTTCTCTTTCATCGCCATGAGCGAGGCGAATCCCAGTGAACCTTCACGGCCGTGCCAGCCGACCCATGCGCCCAGGCCGGGCAGTCTCACTGGCGCCCAGGTGCGGCGCCGACTCGACCACGGCGCTGTACGGACGGACTGACTCCGCGGTGGGAGAAAGGGGGTGGACTTCTGCGAAGGAGGACTGCAGTGGTCGGAGTTCTTATGCAGTAATAGACTCTTGATCGACCACGGCGCGATTCCTTTAGGCCGAGGCCGGTCGCAATTCTTTCTCACGGTCACTTCCGCAACGGTGCAACCTGGAACAACCTGGAGCAACTGGGGAGCTGATAGGATCGCCATTTGAGATGAAACCGGATGTTTTTGTTTCGTGAAGTTTTATTTCTAGTTGCGCAGTAGATGGAGGCACAATTCATGCGGTGGAAAGCGCATGGGGGATGGTTGCAGAACTCTCAAAGGAGTTGTTTGCTGTTGCTAAGCACAGCTTGTTTTTCAGCCTTGGTACAGTTTAGATGGGCCGGAGGTGAGTTGGTCAAACACATTGGTGGGAGTCTCAATTGAACAGGAGGGAAGCCTGTCATGCACGAATTCAGTGTGGTTTCATGCACTTTGGGGCCGCCGGACCGCCGAGGACATTACATGAGACCGCCGCATATCGCCTCGTTGCTCGCCTCGATTGGCTTAGTTTGTCGTCAACCATGACTGAAAGCACAAGTGCCAATCGAGGAAATCTATGTTCTTAACCACGCGGCTGTGAACTTCAGTCATTGCTCTTCCAATTTCTGGACTTCTCATCATGTTGCTCGAATGCCAACGGATCCGCATCATTCTTCATTTATGCCGCAAGCGTCCGCAGTGTCTGACGTGTCTGTGTGGTCTCAGCGTGGGGTCTGCCAGGCGATTCAGGAGCTGTCAGCAAAGTTGCCGGGGACTCGTGGATGGCCGTGGGATGCCGTGGGTGGCATTAAGGGAGCTTGGTTGATCACCGAGAATGAACAGAATAGGTCGACCTGCCAGGTTTTTGGGCTCCAACTTCTGACTCACAACCAAGTCCGCTGGGCCACAGAAGCTACCAATGTGTACCAATGCTGGATGGCCGCGTTGCCGCGTTGCCGCGTGTGTCCCCACATGCCAGTACTATGTTGTTTTTGGTTTATCCCGGCTTTGGACATATCAAGAAGTGGAGGACGTCAATCGCAAGACTTTGCCATTCGAACGCTGTGTATTCCTCATATCAAAATGCTGGTACCGACCACATCCATTTCGCGACCGGTCTATGTCATGGTCCTGCCTTTTTCTAGCGTCTGCGTCCGTCTCTGCGTCCGTTCGTTTCTGCACCCTAATGGAGCTCGTATACGAAGGAATCCAAGCCGCAAAACGCCTACGTATACCGTATACGGTTCAGGACACCGACCACATCCGGTGTCCGGGTGTAATGAGCGACCACCACCAGTGACGCGCCGCTTCGAGAGATCCGACCTCGGCCGGTCAACCAGGTTGACGCGTTGGGTATGTTTGTGTCCGAGGCAAAGTTGTGTATGTAAAGTGTTGTCCTATGGATTGGATTCGCGGGTTCTGTAATGGCCGGAGGCAAGCAGTGTGTCCAGAGGTCAACAGACCCGAGTTTGGTTTCCGTGTTCCCATCTCGATTGGACCGGTTGGTCTTTGAACCCGACCGATGTTCCCGGTGCCCGGCGGAGGCTCCGACCGGTTCTTGAGAATCTCCATGAGCTTCCACTGAAACAGGCTGGGCTTTTCCGCACAGAGCTGGCGGAGCGCGCTGGGTGGGTGGGCCTTTCTG